CTATCACTAATGCCACCACTAAAAAAGTTTTCACCCGAAAGTATTAGAACTATAACCCGAAACCCAAATATCGATTTAGAATCGATTGGCATCTATTCCAAATCCGACATACAACATCACATACGTACACAACAATTTCAAGAACTACTTACAAAAATGGACACTATACAACGACAATCAATGAATCAAAACTTACGTAAACTTTCAGAAAAAGCAAGATTTTCAAACATTTACGCACAAGATTACAGCGGATATTTTAAAGATTTTAAAGACCACAAGATATATCACCAATCAATATTTTTAGTTTTGTAAATTTCAAAAACGAATTTTTAGCCTTTCTAGGATGGCCATATTACATCTCAGAAAGATTGACTATATTATGCGCAATGTTTAATTTTATTGGATTTATTTTCTCTTTCTTAAAAAGAATTTATAACATACGCACAATCCGCACACAAGTAAATAGACAAGCAAGCGTAGCACGCATACTTTTTGCAGGATTTTTTGGAATATTTTCCACATCTTTAAATAAAATACATTTAGATGCAAAAAATGAAAGAATACAATACAAAATTATCAACTACACCAAATCACAGAATAACACAAACACATTACCTAGAGCACCACAACTACCAAGTTTAAATCGCAACCATCCACTATCAGTAGTACCACGAAATTTCAGGAACTTAGCACTAGTAAACATTGCAAATTCAAGACCAAATCATATACAAAGTCCAATTCAACACATTGTAACACAACAATTTCAAAATGACGATACATATGGAGAAATAATCAAACAACTAAATAAAACAAATTTTCAATCTCAGAACAATCATTTTTTTATCTCACGATGAGCCGACAAATTGGATTCCTTCACCGTTCAATTTCCCATCCAGCCAATCTCCCAAACCCATTTCCCATCATCCAACTTTTTGCTTTCCCGTCACTTGAATCGCCCCATAATAACACATCATCGGGCATGGATTCTGACTCTTACTCAGATATCACCGTTTTTAATACAATTTCCCAATTTAATAACTCAAACATCGAAAACCCAGACAATATTGCAAACTCCGAACCCAGCCCATCATCATTTTCTCAACCCCCTTTCGACCCATTCACTCCCAATCCAAAAATGATTCCCCCTCTACCATTTCTCATGTTTCCCAAGCAACCCCGACATACTCCCCTTTTACCAATGAACGTTCCAACAACCATTCCCCAGAAACCACGCAAATCTCATATGAACTAAATAACTTAATAACACTACAACAAAAAATACAACACCCTCACACCCTAACCATTCATCAATTATCATCAAATATAACATCATCAAACCCACCAACTCCTACACCCATTTCAGATTATACCCCTTCTTCAGCTCAATCCTCAACATCAACCCATTCATCATCCACTACTAACCGTGCATATAGAACATTCAAAAGAAAATTTCCTAACCACCCGTTTTCCTCCAATCCCGGAACAGCCGGCGATTATGTAAATCACCCTGACCACACTAATACTCCCAACTTTCTCCAAAATCCCTACCCCTCTTCCCCCAATTTACCATTAGTCATTCCAACCCTCACACTGAACAACCCCACTATGTCGATGAGCATGTACTAACCCCCACACTTCACTGGATATCATTTTTTTATTTCTCAAATCCACTTTGTGTACCACTAAATAAAACACCTCAAGACGTAGAAAAAAGAAAACTTGACCTTTTTAGACTAACTACAGCACTAACACCTAGACAATTTACACATGTAGGATATAAAAAGCTATTAAAAAATTTTCACCGCACCCCGAGTAAATGACTATTTCATCAAATATTATGACCACAATATCACCAGACCTAACCAAGATCAATTTCTCGACCGAGATAAGTTCGCTAACCCGCAACTAACTGAAAAAATTTTCATCCGAACACCCTACATCTTTACACTAAGCTACCAGATAAAAAACACGACCACATCATTTCCGAAGCTCTAATCGACATCCAAGCTTATGAATCATTTTACGATAAATTTGAAACCTTTTCACTAACCTTTCACTTCCTCACTCCAAAAGAACGAGATCTGCACTGTTCACACGACATAATGTTGATAACTAAACAAACATTTTACTTACACTTATTATAGATTCATTCAAAATCACTTTAATTTGCACACAACATCACGGCAACCCCACCATCGTTTTCAGTTTATTAATTCTAAATACACATCACCATTTTCCTAAATTTCACCTACTGCATTAAAAAAATTAGCTTCCAAGGCATCCTAAGAAATTACGACCCAATAACCCAAATGTTTGACTTCAATCACAATACTAAATATAATCACAAGCTTTTTAAGCTCATCCAGCCCACCAATTACGAGTTTTCCATTGGCACTGAAGAACTAAACATCATAAAAGCACTTGAATTGCTTTGGCTACTGCTCGAAACTAAAAACATCATTCGCATATTAGCAAAATTACTAACCACATCAGATTCAATACACGATATCTTCCCTCATGGCTTCTTCTCCGATGACTAGGTGGGTATGAACTAAATAGTTTGACACTAATAAATTCAAAACCAACTAACTATTTCTTATTAAATGTTTTTTCATTAGTCTTTAGATCATCATCATCATCTACAAACAGAAAACAGAAATAAAAAATTGCAACTTTTTTTTTTATAAATTATAAACTTTTAAAATTGCAAACTCTTTTATAAATGATAAACTTCTGTTAACAAACCGCAATAAATGATGCAGAAACATTTCTTCTCCAAAGCAGTAAGTTCATCTATAAATGTTTTCCCCGATGTACTAAATCTAAATACACGGAAAATAATTTAATACTTTCAATCCTCAAAAACAATAAATTTAATATTTTCAGCAGTAAATCTATACAATTGTTAGCAGTACTAACTTTTTCAAGAATCAATTGCACGCATATTCTATCTACGCTCGCACAGCACACAACGCGCTAGAACACACGCTTTGCGAGGCACTCCTTATTTTCGATAAGAGGTACTCAAGTGTGAGTAACTCTTTTAAAATAACTGAACTAAAAATAAGAAGCTTTTGCGATAAAAACTAATAAAAAATCATAACTAAAAAGAAGGACTAACTAAACATTCATTTATGTAAATTATATATTGCAGTAATATAGATCATACACAATCACGAAGTTGAGCAACAGGCAGCTAAGACGAACTAATGACACATAACCCACAGAACGGCTGAACACAACCGATATGCCGCTCACAACCCCAACTCAAAAGATTTGAAGTGCGACTTGACTCCGAAGCAAAGTACTTCATTGAAACAGACCAATGACCACCTCGATATTCAAAAATACATACAGATCCGAGTTACAGTGCATTCCCTCCAAACTCGAGCTTCACGCCATTCCCAATTCAGATCGAATTACAGTTCTCCACACCGATCAAGAACATATGATCATAACAAACCATTTTGAAATCAGATTGACTTTGTTGACGGTCTCGGTCATCGTTGAATGGCAAAATGATATCAACAGTTCCAGCTTCCTGGAGCTTTCTCCACCAAGAACGGAATAGAAATGATGCTCGCGAAGTACGAATGACAATCATCCATCCTCCATTACAGAAAGAAGTCAAAGGAACAAAACTCTGTAAACCCCGGATGGGTGGAACTTGATCCAAACTACATATTAATATTGGTTAAAAATTAGATATTTTATCCCTATAAAATATTAAATACTAACCAATCACACTCCATCTAACTAACAACCCACTTATTTGTAAAGAGCTGAAATAAATTGTACTTTCAGCACCAGAGCATTCTGAATTTAACTTACAATTTAGTTGCCTTTTCCAAGAGACCGACTCGTAACAGACCAGTATATTCTAGATCTTTTGAGCTTAGGGGATATAAGAGTAAGTTTAAGATTGGTCTTAGACTAAGAAATTGCACGAATCTATCCGGCCGAAAATAAGATAGCACGAAGAGCAGACGGTGTACCCTATCTGAAATTACTTTATGAGTTGGAGATCAATCCCAACTCAATACTCGAAACTTGTTATCTTGTTGCGATTAAGCTGTAAACTGATTCCAAAAATTTACTTTCTCTAAATTAACAGAAATATATATTTAAAATCTTGGCTGCCCATCTGGAGAAATTTGGATAAATGTTGTTACAAAAATTAATATATTAAAAAACTGAATAAATCTGAGTTTTGTTTCAGATTTTTAACGTTCCAGCTAGCAGCTGTAATAACTACAAAGTAATGTAACTTTTGTCTAGTAAAAGGTTTTGCATGTCATCATTGCGTGACCAAAAACCCTGTCCTGTGCCGAGGTTCAATTTAGCGCAGGGTGGCATGCAAAACTTCAAAGCCTCAAAGCTAAAACTGTTGCGCAAAGTCCAAAACTTATAAGAGTTACAATTATATCAAATAATTTTGTTAGGTTCAATTTCAAAAACGGGGCGAAAATTGTGATAGTGCAAAAAACGGTCGAAAAAATATCTGCTCAGGAAAAAATTTCAATCTCAATTATTCCTTTCTAAAAAGTCGATGTTTAAAGTTTGGATGGTGGCACAATTTTTGAAAGAAAATCCACACAAAATTTGGCAATCTATCTTGAAAAAAAGGCTTTTTCACTGGAGCTAAATCACATTTCTTTAAATGTTGTGCTTTGTTGTTGTGAATCAGCACTATACGATTCACCTATAAAACCTACAGTTTAGTTTACCGTTCATTAGGTTCAAAAATGAAGCATAATCGAAAAATTTTTCTTATCGGTCGTAAAAAGTCGCAAAACTCTTTTTTCCATTCTTTTTTTGGATCTTGCAAAGTTGCGCACAATTAGTTGGTCGCATAAAGACTCGACATACGCATTTTGAGTCGGGACGGTTGCAACATACCCATTTTGAGCCGCGAGGGTTGTGGTGTAAAAGGCGGACTTTGGCCTGGGTGCGACAATAGGGCTGAGTTTTGACAAACTGCACATGGTTAAACTTTGCAGGTATCTTACCGTGGCAAGGCCTGAAACCAGATCCTAAAAAAGAGAGATACGAGAAGATAGCAGAGAAGAAGATTTCGACACCCATCACAGTTCTATGTGCGGGACTCCCTATTGAGTTCCAGATGCTGCTGTCATACGCCAAGAACCTCACTTATTACGAGAAGCCCAATTACGCTTACTGTAGAGTACTGCTCAGGGTGCTAGCCAGGGCCGTGGGGGTTTGCTTTGACTGGCGCTACGACTGGGCATATGTGGCTCAAGGAAATAGAGGGAGGAGTTAGATGGTTCCACAAAATTCAAAAAGCTCAAAATATGTCGAAACCTTCTGAAAAAGTTAAACATAATTTCAAAAAATTTAACAAGTATACATATAAAAAGCCGTTCTGCCAAAATGCAACCAAGTTACAATAAAATATTTCAAAGTTTTGTTTGCTCAAAATGTGACTTAACTTAACTTTTCTTGGTGTCAGATGATCAGCCGACTTAAGACAAATACGTTAAGCTGTCTCGTGGCAGTAGCAATGAACTTGCTTCGGTTTAATCAGATAGTTTTATTGATCACCACGATCAGTGCATCTAATATCAAAGTTTGACAAATCTCCAATATGTTATTCTCAACCTAGTTTTTGTTACTGTTCTGCAGTTTGGATACAACTTGCTACAAAATAGAAACAATGATCGGCCAAAGATTAGTGGTTATTCTATTCTTTTCACTGTGTTTTCAAGCAATTTTGACTTTGGACAATGGCGTGGGGATCACTCCTGCAATGGGTTTCATGGACTGGGAAAGATTCAGGTACCTTTGTTTCGGACTTGTATGCTCTAACGCTACCACTTTTGTAGAAAGTTGAATAGCCTTCAAAAAACCCAACAATTTTGAGCAGCTTGGAGCACTCTAGTTGCGGATATCCCCAGACAAGAATTAAGCGCATGCTTTTAGTTTCATAGCTAAGTTTTGTACAGCTGTGATTCAGTATTTGCTTTTAAAATTTTTAGCTTAAATTAACTAGTCTTTATGAGTAAGATCTTGATACGTTCATTCTCTTAGGCGGAGAGAATGCTCTCTAATTTTTAATGTTTTAATTTTGAGATTAATTCAATCGTTACCTTTGTAATTATTTAATTGTAAATAATTAGAATTAGCTGTAACAAATGTATATTTCATCCTGGCGCAGTCAACTAGTAACTAATCAAACAAGAGAAGAATGCCCCCTTCTGGCAAAACCATACGGTAGATCCACCAATTCCATGGAAAGAGCGAAGCGAAAATTTCACCAAGCGCTGATAGCGAAAAAAGGTAGATATCGAAAATCTACCTAAAACATATTATAGATATCACCAGCAACCTCCAGCATTCGACAGTCTTACAGATACGGAAACAGAAAATTAGAAATCCCAAGCCTCTAGAGGAAAATCCGCAAAAAAAAGTGATTTGTCACCTAAGAAACAACTTCGATCAAGATCCAAACTGAACGTTTCAACGGAATGAGAATTGACAATTTGACGTAGCAGACGAATACCTACATTCGATGCCATGCCTAGCTCTTGGAAACGAAGGGAAAAATGTTCGGGTAGATTTCATTTGAAATGTTTTGGGAAAGTTTGTCTACTGCTTTCGAAGGGAAAACAAAGTTCACAATTGAAAGACAAAATTGGAGTCTTTGGAACATTTTTGAAAAGCCTGAGTCAAAATGGCGAAAAAGTGTTCTATACCCGCCGGAGAAGAATCAACATGGAGAATTGCGTTTTTCAAAAAAGTATTGGAAAAACTTTGCCCCCTAGAAACATTGGACGTAGCATTGATAGACGAAAAAGAATAACAAAACAAATGAGGATGACAAATAGTTTTGAATCCCATGGATTCTCTGGACACATCTAAAAATCATTTTAACGTCAAAAAAGCACTCACCCTGTACATCGAACAATACAATATATGTATGAAATGTGGCGTTATTTTTTAAACGCCACTTAGCAGTTTGCCCGGCAAAATATTCAACAAGTACACATTGTAAAAACAAAGATCTTTTTTCGAGACTTCGTAAATCTTGTCGTAGAAAGATAGTCATTTTGAAACTAAAAATTAGATAAGACAGATTTCAATTCTCCCTTGGATCCAATGGATATAGATAACGACCGTGTAACTAGAGAACTTTGTGAAGTGATCAATTTATTGTCAGAGTAATCATACCAATATCAATGGACAGAGTAATCAAAACAAGTGAAAAACAATCAAAAAACATACAAGTGGTTTCAGCTAGCTTCGTTAGCTTCTTCAAGAGGAGCGGACTTCATCAATTTGAATTACATGACCCTCAATCGGAAATTTAACTTTGGAACATTCAACCAAAGACTTGTGTTGAGGCTTCAACGTCAACGAGATCTCTCGGCAAGATCAGAAAGTCTTTATTTGTTATAACTACCGCTGAAAAAAAGAGAAATCAAACGTTTACCTATAACTTTTAAACATTATTTCTTTTGAATTGGTAAAATCAAAAATCTTTAAATTCATTACACCTATCGAGTTAAAAAGTACACGCGTCACCTTTCCTTTACTGGGCTCAGTCGAAAGAGAATTAAACCGACTCAAAACCGATACTCACATCAAAAAGTTAGAATAACTGGTCAATCACATAACTGGTCAATAAATTTCAAAAAATTACAATAACCAGTCAATAACTTTCAAATGAAAAATAAATCAAATGAGTCCCAAATTTAGCAACCTTGGGAACTCCATTACGCACCTTCTGAAAAAAAGCATTTTTTTTATTGAAAGGAAAATCAAAAAAAATAATTTGAAAAACCTAAACAAGAAACTGTCAATCAAACAGAAAACCTTCACATTGATGTTAACCTTAAGGCCAGATTAAAAATTGACGCATCCCAAAATGGACTTGGGCGTCCTTAGAACGATTCCATTGGAGTGGTTGACAGGTTGTTTCATCTTTCTCAAGTCTTTTGAGGCCCTATGAAGCTAAATTTTCCACAAATGAACTAGATCGTTTGGCAGTTGTTTGAGCAGTGGAATTCTACAAACACGTTTTTTATGGTTCACACGTCGAAGTTTTAACTAATCATGATGTTCTTATTTGAGCCTGATTGGCAAAACATGAGAAAAAATCTTACCATAGTAGACTAGTAAGAAGGTTTGGTCGAAGTTTATAGTTTAATCTCAAAATTAAACACTTGTCAGGAAAATATATGGGAATCATTGACCGAACTTCGATAATTTTATCCAGAATGGCAAAACTTTTATCTCGATGAAGAAATCATAGTATCACCGGTCGATAAAATCAATAAAGTTTTTTATCTAAAGGATAATCATAAAGTATATTGCAATGCTATTGGCTCAAATGTGGAAAACGCAAGGTTACGCATGATTAGGTAATTACCTAAAAGCCTCACTTCTTAACTTCATCGACGCTTTCAATTTGCAACTTGAAACAAAATCTAACTGACATTTGGAACTCTAAATGTATTCCCTCAGATTATTAAATTTTGATCCTGCAAAAAATTTAATTTCAAAATCTGCTTTTTGTTTTCTTAATTTTTAAAAGCAGCCTAATATCTCTGTTTTGGACAACAAAAATTGTAATTACAGGAAAAAAAAGACGAACATTAAAATTTTAATGAATTTGTCTGCTTTCGCTATTCATGTTTCAGCTGATTTTCCTTCTAGGTCAGAAGATGAAAAACTTGTAAATAAGTACCGAGAATTTTTGAACTTGCGCGAATGATCCTTGGATCTTAATTCTTTTTTAACGCCAAACTTTTAGCTCTCTTTACAGAATCAGGCCCGATGTTGAGCTCTTTTTTTTAAGCACTTCAAAACAAAGAAGAGACGGTGAATTCAAAAGCTGCTTCTCGTTCCCACCATTTTTATCGCAATCTAACAAATCTGACGGATTACTCTAGTTATTTAGTTTGTTATTACTTTTTCTCTTAGAAGCGCCGTTAAGACCTTTCTCAAAGCACAATCCGGCCACTTTCCGATCAAGTATTTGGCACAGTGTATCTCTTGGCCACATATAAACCGAAAAATCTATTCGCACGCTGTAGCTTGTACACAATGTTCAAAAACTGGGAAGTATTTAAAAATTATTATTCCACACTACCATAAATACGAACCAATTCCGTATCGGAACCAAAAGAAGAAATCAATCTTGCTTTTCCCGGTCCTTTGGGTTCAACATATCTTTGGATTCAAAGTTATATCTTTTTGTTTGAAGACAGATTATCAAAATTTCCTTTGTCTTAACTTACCTCTTAGCTCATACCTCAATCAAAGTTATTGACTTTCTTCAGTTTCTTTTTCCCTGTTCTTTTCGCATAGATCACGCTGCTTGCTATAACATCCAAGACTTTTAATTATTCTGCTGTTCTAGTCAAATTAAAAAGATATTGTGTGCCTTAGGCGATCAGCGCTCCAATGAATTAGTTGAAAAAAAATTGTTCAGACTGTAAAACTCAAATTATCAGTATTGGCTCAAGAACATCAAAAAACACACTACAAACGCTATCTCAAAATTTTATCATCATTCAGTAAAAATTTAAGAGCTCAACTTTGGATATCCATTACGTTTGGAAAAAAAACTTCTATCTAGTAAACTATCTAATTGAATTGGAGATACAAGGAAACCAATACCAAACAAGGAGCGAGCACTTGATTGGATTGCGCAAGACTGGATTGAGGATCGATTCAAGAATACAGCGACTCTGTAAAAAAGCCTATCTCGTTTGAAAGATAAATACGAATCGGACTACCCTTCTTCCTCAAAACCCTCACCATTAAGGATCCCTCTCCAAATTCCATATAAATGTAGTATCCTTCGGATAACAAAGTAGAGAAACAATTGAAATCCTTTTTACAAGACACTGAAACAGAAAAATGTAATTCAACTAAAATGACAGTTGAACTATCCGACGGAAAAATCATCAGAAAATCAGACATCGCCTTACCAAAATCCTACTCAAATTCGATCTTTTGAGGGAATTTGTTCAGTCCTAATTTTCCTACCCATAATTTTGAAGCAGGTATAAAGCGGACAAATCAGAAGAAGCCAACGGAAATCAGAAATCCAGTCACCAAGTTTAAAAAAAGAAATCGAGATGGCTGCATCAGACAGCAACATCAGGATTAGGGCCTCCAACTCATCACGCAAAAGGACAAGAAAACAACCCTCACATACGAAGAAAACAACTCGTAAAACAGGTTAACTGACTTGCAACGACTCTCTGTTTATTTCTTTGGATACATCAGATATTAGTGATTGGGAATGGATAGTAGAGACGTGGTTAGGAAGCGCTATTTTACAGAGCACTCTATTGAGTCAAAGTCCGCCAAAATCGTTTCTCATTCACTTCTTGCTCGTGATGAAATGAAATGTGAATTTTTAGTTGAACAAACTACCTCCCGGAAATAACTAACATGGATTGCCCTGTCACCAATATACCCGCAGAGAAAATATATACTCAAGTCATATCCTAATCAAACACAGCACAAAAGTTCAAAACTCCACTCAATCCGCAGGATGTAAGTGAGCCAAGACAATCAGAGGAAACCAGTGAACTTCTACGAGATTGTCAACCCGTTCAACAATTTACGAGATTGTCGACTCGTGAGATGAGGCCAGAACGGAACAGGAGAGATCTGTCCTCAAAAACCAGATACAACCGTTCACAGAATACACATATTGTTCGGATGAAATGGACACAATTTTTCCCTCTCCTTCTTCTCTCCTTTCTCTCCTTCTACTCAACAGACTTTCAGCCCTTCTCTTCAACTGACCAATCACTCAGAATGACCATTGGCAACCTCAGTGACAACGTCGACATAGACAGAGAACTATTAAACGCAGAGCTAGAACAATTTAAGAGGACAAAATCTGAAAGCTTGAATTTTTCTTTTTATAAACCCATTTTGTTAAATTTCATTACTTAAACCTGATTTCCACTTTCTTCATCAGTGCTATCTTACTTTCTAATGTCAATGCTACTGGTATTACTTTTGCAGTTTACAATTTGGTTTCATTTGTTTCATTGATCATTTAATAATCCATCGGACTAAACACTGTCTTAGCTTTTTGCCTTAATCAGTGAAACTGCTTTTAAATTCTCTACTTAAACCCTTAATCGAACTCTCAGTTCTATATCACAGTGCATGTTGTTTAGTCAGTTGTCACAAAAAAGTTAAAATTTTTTTCTCCGAAGGGGAGAAAAGGAGCAGTTACTTGTTATCAACTTAGCAAATTAAAAATTTCTCCTGTTATGAGGAATGTTGTGATTCAATATTTTTGAATGTTTAAACTACATAATTCCATTTAAATTATAAATCAGGAGATTAGATGTAACAAAGGAACATTTTGTCAAGTACGTTGAGTTTTGTATTGCTAATAAGAGAGAAAAAAGTACTGAGTTCGAAAATGTGAAACTGCGCTAGAAACTCGTTTTTGCTAAACTTTGTTAAGAAGATGCAAAACGTTTTTGAATTCAGATATACTTTTTTCATCACCAACTACTGCAAAAAAGCTTGATACATATCAGTGCCCTCTTTTTCTTGTTTTGAGCTGCAATGAAAAGCAATATGAAAGTTAGTAGGCCATGGAGACCCGGATAAGTTGCGCCATAATGTAGAGTAGGCTTCGACCCTAAAGATGGAGATGAAGTTAAATCTTTGATCGCGTACAGATGCAACATCGATTGTTCTGACTTCCCGGATGAGTGCATCAGTGAGCAGCTGTTCATGCAGATAGCAGACGCCATGGTGCAGAAGGGACTGGCCGCAGCGGGTTAGTTAGACAAATGCTCAACTACTCAGCTTAAACTACCTGTTGCAGAATTTGATTTTTTGTCAAAACCTGGCATAAAAAAAGGTTTTTCGTAATTTTTCAAAAAAGTGACCATGGTCAAAAATTCCTGCGCGCGCCACTGTATATCATAAAATGTTACAAAAGCTTCTATCAAAAAAAAAGATTATTCAATTTTAGGGATTTTATTTTGTAGCGAGAGGTTCAAAAAAAGATAATAGCTTAAATATGGAAAATCGTAGTTCAACAAGACTGGAGTCGTATCCACTCATATCCAGCCATCCAATCTTTTAACGACGAACTAGCTTACCCGGCTAAAGCGTTAAACGTAATCGAAAACATGGTTGAAACATAAATGAGCAATTTTTCGAATCATAAAAGAACACAAAGTCGGATACAATTATGGTCAAAACTGTCAAACACGTTTTTCCTTTGATCGAGTCGGTTATTTTTACATAGCCGGTTTGGGTCGATTTGGTCGAAGCATAGCTATTTTTGGTCCCGCTGGTCGAAACGTATGAACGCTCAACTCGTGCGGTAAGCAAACACAAAGACGTGTTTATCGGACATTACAGCAGCAAATGAATCAGGTTTCGTATAGCTACGACATTGCATCAAGAATGGGTTGATTTGCTAGAAAAAAACTGCTGAAGTGTCTGAAATACTGAGTGTCTGGTATCGCAGTTAGTTGCTCTAATCAACGAAATACACTGAAGATTGACAAAGAATAAGGACAACGAATTAATAATACTTGAGAATTGAGAAAAGAAAGCTTCTCATGTTTTCAGATAAATCAACGTTTAGGCAACCAACATTGTATAATGTTGCCAAAATCAGCTAAAAGCCTGTATTTTGCTGCAGCAAATTAAAGGGGAGGGAGAAGTGGGTGGCTCGGGTTGACCAAAATGTGCAACCATACGTCGCACCATGCATGGTTCCATAGAAGCCATGGAAAGTTGCCGACGTATTATTAAAATAACACATTTTCCATGCATGGCTCGACGTATGGTTGCACATTTTTTTATCACGGGGACTTCAAATTAGGCAATTTTGACAGTGTAAACGCTAAAATGTTATTAAGTAAATAAAGTCAAAAGGCCGACAGAAAACGCCACGTTTGCTCAGATATAAAAAAAACTTTTTTCGATGTCAGATCTGTTTTTTAAATATTTAATTGATTTACTATTTAAAAAGAATCCTAAATTAAAAGTATGTCGTGAAACGGTCTGTTTACAGCAGAATTCTATTTTTCAACTCGTTCCATTATGTGCTCAAAAAAATTATTCCGGATTGAAAAAGTTTTCTAAAAAAATTAAAAAATCAAAAAAACAATCTAAATTTTTTTTCACTTCTCTTCACACATTTTTTTGACCAAAAGTAAGTTCTCAGCTTATTTGTCAATATTTGAAACTGCTAATAAACCCCAAAAGTAAACGAAAAATTTCGGTGTTCGTTCTGATATCGCATGCTTAATTAAAGTTGTTTTTGTATGGAAACATCGTTTCCATAAATAGCACCATAAATGGTGCGACGAATGGTTTGCATGGTGGAAAAAAATCACAATCTAATAAAAGCGTATTTTGCACTACGGATAACTTTTTCAGTAATTTTTGTCAATTAACCTCTATTTTTACTGTTTTCTAGAGAAAAAAAATAATGGTGAAAAATCTCTTCCATACGTAGCACCATTTATGTTGCCACGTATGATTTGCATTGTGAAAATTTTTGATATTTTACCAACAGCTTGCATAATGATGAGAAACCGTTTTATAACCATTTTAATCCGTCAAAAAGTTATTTTGTGGGTTTTCGAAACCAACGTTAGTGCTACGTATGATAAGTCATTTTCAATATAAATCATGCATGGATGTGCAAGGTTGCGCATTATCTTCTATGGTGGGCAACCCGGGGGCAGTGGTGGTAGATTTTTCTATTGAAAGGGAGGAATGTATGTGGAAGGGTGGCTTGTGTTGGGATTTTTACTTACCTTTCAGGACGACAGTTTCTGTTTTAGGGCGATGAATTCTCTGATCGGCTTTCCACCAATCTCGTCTTTAGATTTCAGCACAACTTTCTTGTTTGTATTGTCGACCAGGAAACGGTCCTCATCATAATTAAAAAAGTCGAATTCAGCTTTTAGTTTCTCTACTTCCCGGTAAACGTCATCAGTTTTACCGCTGAAATAAAACTATCGGAGTACAGTAGTTCCAAGTGTAGGTTCGGATTCATTTTCTGATAACGAAATTGAAAGATGAAACGCTTGGCGAGGTCTAATATGGTCACACCAACTAACATAGGTTTGTCCCAAAAATTTTCTTTACTGAAAAACTGATTGTGGCTTTTCATAAGGCTCAGAGTTGTTTTTTGAAGAACTTTTCACTCATTCCTTACAATCTCCAGCCTTTTTTCCCCTAACTTAGACTCCGTTGTTTTACCAAAGGCTGAATTAACCTTACTACAGATTTTCGTAGTGTGCCATCCAGTGACGTTGGCGGAACTGAAGAATGTTTCCGAAATGAGTTATTTTCATTCCCAGCTCCTGGTACAACTTTAGGATAAAGTAATGTAAAACATAACCATCTCTAGGATGCAATGTCTGCAGAAGCTTTGGCACCTTCGGCAGTGTGGTGACTCCCAATTTTCCCAACATGTTGGGTTCGTCGTTGCTCATTGCAGCGATGACCACTACTTCACGAAATGAGGCAAGAAGATAATAATCGGAGAAGTCATGAAGCTCATCGGTAATGGAAAAAATGACTTCAATTGATGAACCTAATCCGAGGTTTCGCTGGTGAGCAGTATCTTTTGTCTTATATTGAATGGTTTAATAGCAAAGGGCAGTGTTTCATTAGTCGCCCGTACAAAAATTGTCCTTCAATATTGAGGGTGTAGCTTAATGGTTTTGAGTGCGAAAAACCGTCGAGGTTGGATGGTTCGCCTTTTAAAGTTGGCGCGCGTAAAATGTCAACATTCCTCCTCGTATCATCGCTGCACAAAATCCAGATGTTCACGATCCCTTAGAAGCTTCAGGTTGGGCTTACAACCTTATAGTAAGGCATCCGAGGAATGGTTACTTGACGTGAAGTATCAAGCGCTATCCAGTCCGTACAATTGATAGCAAATTTCACTAAAAATTGAAAATGGAAGCGCAAGTAATAGCACATCTGTAGTCAATCATAAGTCGTGGTAATCACCAAGTGAACCACTCTCCAGTTCAGTGAGGACTTTTTGAACAAGATTGTACTCGCTTCTTATAACACTCACATCTCCTCCTGTTAAACAATTTTAACACATTGTTCGCGGGGGTACTTGCGTTATTCAGAAAAGGTCTCCAGTAGAAAAAAAAGTTTTGCAGAAAAAATTTTTCGTTTTGCAACTTGTCAATAAATTTGGCCCTAGCATGAATCTATACAAATGGACGAATCTGAAATTTTTTAAGGGTTTTCTGAGTTTTCCATTTTTGTCCGTGTACGTTTTTATATACAGAGATTGTCAAAGATTTTATACGTCTTCAGATGCGAGTAATACAGAAAAACTACTTTCCGAATCGCTTCTTGCCGGCACTTTGATTATAATGCGTCAGACATGTTTTGAAAAATTATGAGCTATCATTAGATTTTAATTTGTTATTTTTCTATTAACTTAAGACCCAATATGTGCCCAACCCAGGAACTTTTTGGTGTAGCGGCAAAAATTAAGTTCAGCTTTGTTCTCACATACCCAACAATTCGTAGGATCTTCCCGTTCCTGGCCTGTTATACCGGTGAAAATGTTTTTCTTTTTTTTCAAGTTAGTTTGTCTCGCTATTGAATCAAGGGAGCTTTTAAGCTCAAACTTTAACAGATATTTCATCATAATTTTGATTACTATAAAGGCGTAGGCTCACCGTTAATGGAATTCATTTTTGTGCGTGGTAGCTTTTTGCGAATCAGGTTGCGATCCGTATACTGGCAAAAGCAGTGACTCCAAATCAAAGAGTATAACTCTGGATACGTACATTGATCTTTCGGTCATTTTTTGCCGACCTGGGCATTGTACTGACGACATTTTTGTCTTGATAGCACAGTTCTTGATGTCTTCTCAGAGTTTCGAAGGAAGCGCTGGTGTGGAACCCTTTACAGCAAATCTCAGATTGGCATCGATGCACTTAGTGCCGCATGTACTCGATCAGTTTCTGGAGATCACTTATCCACATATAGTGATACTTGAATCCATCTGTAAGCAGTAACAAGTCCACCAGATACATCAGATAAGTAGTGGTTCTGTTCGACATTTTTAGGGTCAATAATTTGCCATCGTTGAACCTGAACAGAAAATTTTTTTTTATATCTAGTGTTGGTGCGAAATATCAAGCGGGATTGAATAGATGAAGAACGTTAATCAGGGGCTATTAAAATTTGTTAACATTCAAGTATAAGTTGCTTAACGACACTCGTTGACATAACAACTGCTCAACCTTTCAAATCTGTCGGTGTCCATCAGACACATTGGCAATTCATATTCCCTATTGAATATCACAGTTACTTCTTTATCCAATCGAAGGTTAACACCTTGTCCTTCTCCAGCCACCGTCTGAAAATGCGTGCAACTTCAATAGATGTTGTTGATAGCTATTCCCAGTGAGTACTTTTGTTTGGAATAAGATACAATTACTATAGGAAAACATGTCATGTGCCAGCTCAACGTTCCAGCTCTTCCGTTACTTGAGTAATTCAGGAAAGTTTTAAGATTGAAGTAAAACTGGTTTTGAAAAACGAGAAGTGACTAGGATTGAAAATTAAGAGTTTTGCGGGTAAAGACCAGTAGAAGCCATCAACGAGAAGTATACTTCGCCGTGAACTTGACAATAATTACTTTCTTTTCCAAATATAGGGTTTATTCCATATTTTGGCTCTATATGTCTCATCATCTCGTTCAAGTGCAAGGTCTTTGTAAATGAAAAAACTGATTCATGAACAGTGTCAAAATTTTGCTGCTTTAAA